TACATCAGTTTATATTTCTAATAATGATTTCTGGCATATTTCCTTTAGTTTATATACCAGGCCTTCAGTAAATATTTTATTTCTTCCATGTTAATTTCGAAGTTCTTTATTTCATTCTCTGAATGTGCCTTATTTTTCATTTGGCTACAATAGTATGCTGTCGTTACCTCATGAATGCATAGTGTCTAGTTCCTTCCCACTGCCCTCATGTGCTTTCTTTTTCCCTGCTTGTTCTCTAAATGTCTTTTAACCCTGTTTGGCAGCTTATTCTGCATGGACATTCTGAGTATATATGTGGGGTTTGGAAGATGGAGGGTAATCTGACTGCGTTATTTTGGGGGGAACTCCCTTGTTAGTCCTTTTTGTCTTTCCTCTGGGTTGTTGGAAATTTCCCATAGAAATAATGCAGATCTACACTCAGCCTGGACACAGTGGCCAGTGTCATGGAAGACACTGAAAAAGGGCTAAAAATGTCTCAGCCTGAAGTCTGCAAATATCTACCATTCTCCTCATTTATTATTTAATTACTCACTCCCTCAGCTGTGACCAGTGATCTCTGGTTGGTCATGTCATAATTCACCTCTTACTGCTTCTGCTTAGTAGTTGCTGGTCTATGTGGGTCAGAGATGTGATCTAGTGCTCTTTGACATCCCACAGACTTCTTGATTTGGGCTTCATCTTGACCTTCCTCCCAACACGAGGCTGTGATATAAGTCAGGTTGTTTCTCTGCTGTCCATTTTGCTACCTGGGACCAGCTAAGTCATTTACCACTCATGCATCTTCTCTCCAGCGTCCAATCCTCCACCTTCCCTTCTGCATCTGAGTACAGATGATGAGTTAAACATACTCTCTCACCATCTTTTCCTTGACAGTTTTGGTAGAAATGAAAGTAAACACATAGATTCACATTCCCATCTTTACCTGGAATATTCTCTGGAATTCTTAGTGAATTTTAGTTATCTTGGATCATTCAATGAATTCACCTAACTTGGAATCAGAGGTAAATGCAAGTAACACTCCCTTACAACCTGACTTCCAACTCAATATTGAAGGTGCTTAACCTGAATCCCTGAACTTCTGTAAACTTTGTACAGTTTCTCCACATGATTATAGGGACCATTGTGCTTCCTATGTGTTTTCCACACCTCATTTACTCATGAAATTTGCATGTAGGAACTGATGTCACTGTTATAATACCCTGTTACCTTCACACACAAACTTTGTGAGGAGGATTTAATGGAGAGAGAAAGGGGTAAGAGTAGAAGACGCTTAATTAAATTCTCCTAATAATTTAGCAATAAAAATGGACTTATCTACTTTTCAGGCTTTTAACAGTGAGGAGTAAAGTTGTATATTTGTAAGTGATGTGTGATTTGTATCACTGATTAAATGAAATAATACTTATGCCATATAAGGTTATTATTTAGGAGACAGAAAAGCCAGTGGTAGTTAAGAATGAAGCACTAGCTCTTAGCTCATTTTAATTTTTTGGTATTTTCTTCAAATCTATAAAACATTAATGAATTTGATTAGAATGATTAGCCTCATGAGGTTTTTTGGAATATTTTTGTAATTTGGAGATCATGTGCCATGAAAGATTTACAGGGTATCAACATGTGTGGTTAGTCTTGAGATCCTTAGATTACCTCATTACAGTCTGTCAAAACCTGAGCTGAGATGGCAGATCAGGAACAACTTTGCACTTCAGGAATTTTCAACTCTAATTTGCTGTGGAGCTTGTCTCATATAAAAGCACTGGATTTGGTTGAAATTAGTCAGTTTAGATGCTGGGTTCTGATACAGTTTTTATCACTGTTGCCACCTCCTTTATTGCCATAGTATAAAAATAATAATAGATTTTATAGACATAAGTCAACACGTTTAGAGCATAGTATGTAGTTTGAGAATGACAGGACACTGTCACCACATAAAGAACTGGAGAAAATAAGGCATTTTGTATTGTGAAAATACTTGAACTATGAAGACTAAGGTCCAACAGCTTTATTGTATTTTTAACTATGAAGGAGAATTATAAGATTGTTTACAAATGCATATTTTTATAGGATTAATAAATGCAAGAGGATTATATCTACCACTGTAGACTAGAGATACTGATGAGGATGGAAGAGGCCAACTAGAAGATGTGGAACAAACAAACCTAATTTTCTCTGACCAGCAATTATGGGCAAACTTAACTATACTTGAAATAACTGCACTGTGTTCCATCATTTGGTTTCTGCTGCAAACTGAAGTTCCACCAAGCTAGCAACCCCTTACCCCCCAGCAACTTTTATCCAGTTGGTGGGATCAGAACTGGTAGATAAATAACTCTCCCCATTTGAGTCCACAGTGGACAATTCTGAGGCCTATTTCAGTAGGATCAAGTCTCAATTGAGTGTTGCTATGACCAGTTTTACAACATATCCTTGGATTGGCGTTCCCTCCTTCCCAGTCTCATTCTTGATATCTATACCAAATGGGTTTTGTTAAAATAACAACAAGAGTGAATGTCCAAAAGAATCTTCTAATTGAGATGACTAGGTGGAATGCATTCCATCTTTTTGCTTTCCTGCCCACTTCCTTGGAATTCTTTCCTAATTTAGAAATCACAAGTAAGACTTATAGTTAAAAAGTCAGAGACTCCCCCTCTCCCTAATAGTCATTTCGCCATGAAAAGGGTCTCTTGGAACACTGAGGCTTAATTAAGCACAGATAATTGTGACAGACATTAAACAAACCTTTAGCAGCAAAGAGAGCTGGGGGAGGCAGGGCTTAAGGTTTCGAGGCTACATATTTCCAATTTTCAAGAGATATTTTTAGCACTGAGAGATGGATATGGGACCAACCTAGGTCTCCTGATGTTGGAGATGCTTTTACTGAATTCTCTTTGTTTTTTATTCCTCCTTCCCAGGATTTATAGAGACTTTCACTGTGATGTAATGTTAGTAACATTGATGGACCCACAAGATTAAAGCCCATAAGCCCATCTCTTCATATATGCTTATGTACACACCAACCCACCATCGTGGCCTGTATTGGTGGAAAAAAGGTATGCCTCTTAGGAGACTCAAAATGTAGTAATGATTACATATGGTTATAATATTATATTATGATAATTGTAGCATCATTGACTTTATAATCATTTATTATGTAATTATTAAGATTATAGATAGGCTAACTTATTCTCTAGTTTTAGCTAACCAAAAATGTGTATTAAAATACCTTAAGATGTGAATTGTGTTTGCCTTTCTCAT